TGGGTTGATCGGCAATTTGTGCACTACGATGTCTGTATCTAAACCAGGCATATCCTGATAGGACCAAGCAAAAACATCAGCATACTCATGAAGTAACTCTATCAACTTTTTGCGACTCTCTGAAGACATATGAGTGCCTATTTTAATCTCTTTGGCTTCGGCTTGTGATCCCAAGTTAATTGTCTCAGTTAATTCTTCATGGGGTCCCAACATCTTTTCTTCTTCTAGCATTCTCAATAACTCAGCAGAGGGCTCGTCATTTTTTTCCTCATCAGATTCAATATTGTATATAGGTGTATCGAGCTCGTATTTCGAATCATTATCGCATTCAATCTCAGTATTATTTGATTTATTATTTACAAAAGACGATAGCTCTAACACGCTCCAATTGCTTAGCTCAAAACCGTCTGGGAACGGGTAGACAAAAGGTCCAACTTGCTCTCTTTCTTCTGTCATGCTGCCACTACAGAGCTCTCATCGTACTCCTGATGGATTATGCCGGCACTTCTAAAGGAGTGGCTGAGAGGTGGAACAGTCCTCTTTGGGTTATCATGCTCCCTATTCCCAAATCTTGCTAGATGTTATGCTTTTTCACGGTTCTGCACTCTGGTGATGTCACCTCTATTTGGCTTATATCCTAGCTCGAACCTCCTTGTGTTTTTTAGCCATCCTCAGCAGCTTGTCTAAACTCCCGTTGTTTCCTTTAAAGGTGGCCTCTAAAAGTCGTGGCTTAGGTCTTCCAAACTTCCCATGTAAAGTTGTAGCATTTGCAATCTCGAATGATTGGAATGAAGTCTCAAAAGCTTTTTCTGCTGCTTCAACGTATGGCATCGAAACAAGCCTTGAGACTAGAATGTCTTCTTGTCCCAATATGATCACTAACTTTTGGTCAACCGCAAACTTAATTTTCTGATGTAAAGTGGATGGAACTACTCCTGCCGAATGTATCCACGGTCGCCCCGAAACTATAAGCTGATGTGATGTCCATAACCTGAAATGTTATGTCAAAGGTGCAAGGACCTATCTGGATCAGGATCTCAATATCCCCAACAACAGTGCTGCGAGCTCCATCGAAAGCTCTTACTATCACAGTACTAGGTCTTATATGGGACATATCAACCGATAATTTTTCTAGCGTGGATCTTGGCATTATGTTTAAAGAAGATCCATTGTCCACAAGGACTTTTGCTATTAGGAAGTTTTTACACTTAACTGAGATGTGGAGAGCTTTGGTATGTCCTGTATCCTCTGGTGGTATCTCCACATCTGTAAAAGTGATGGAGCTAGATGCCGTTATATTCCCCACAACGTTGCTCAAATTATCTACTGTGATGTCTTGTGAAACAAAAGCCTGCTTTAAGGCTTCCAACAATGTATTCCGATGTGCTTCTATTGCAAAAATTGCTTACCGCAAGTGCACGGGTCAAGTTTTAATAAATGTGGTAAGTAATTACCGATATCGTCTACTGGATTGGTTTTCTAGTCACTCGAGTACTACGGATATTAATGTCCAATTTTATCTAGAGAAACAATCAGGAATTTCTTTTGACACACAAAAGATAAAATAACAAAGTAAAAAAAAAACTCTAAGAAAACTCTTATGGAGAACGGGTCCTAGGGAAATGATTTCACCAATTGAACCTACGAGCAGACAAATTAAACATGCCGAGATTGAATATGCAATTAATCTATAAGTCAAGAAATCAAGAATCATAAAAGTCTCTCCCGAGCACAATTAATTCTCCCACTTATTAAGAAACCAATATCCCTATTTAGTTTCATTAACAAGCAGGGCCTTAAGTCTTAATCTTTTTAAAAACTTCTAAGATAATTCTAAATCTCCCGATCTTAGAACTACCCCAGTCATGCATTCAGGTTCCAACCTAAACCACCTCTCCCGAGCATAAGATTCAGATTTAGCAACAATTAATCCATGATCAAGATACATTAAGCAAATAAATGCATAAATAGATTAAAACACAAATCAATCAAGACAAAAGTTAATAAATCCAACAAATAAATCCAACGGCTACGTCAATCCCTAGAACAAGAAGATTAGCTACTCATGTTCACCAAAATACAATAAAATCCTACAAAGAATTTCATAATAAAACTAGAAAAGATAAGGGAAAGGAGAGAAACTAAAGTCGTAGTGTCGATTGACCGTCCCCGACTCAATCTCCACGATCACGAGCCCTCGAAAATCATCTCCTCAGCCTTCTTGCCTCAAAANGAAACTAAAGTCGTAGTGTCGATTGACCGTCCCCGACTCAATCTCCACGATCACGAGCCCTCGAAAATCATCTCCTCAGCCTTCTTGCCTCAAAACCCGAGCCCCTCCTCTCCAGAATCCTTTTTCACCTCTTCCAATCCCCCAAACGGCGCACTCATCTTTCTCTTTAAGTTAGGGCATCGCTACAGTGCCATGGCGCCGTCCCAGATTTGTGACGGACGTGCAAGTTCGTAGCGCCATGGCGCTACAATACGGCGCTGCTTCTTCGGGATTTTGCTATCAATTCTGACATGTACGCACGCCATGGCGCTAAAGGATGGCGCTGCGGCGCTGATGTGGTTTCGACAAGCTCCTCTTTTTCGCTCTAGTTTCCCTCAAATGATCGCTTATGCTTCAATTCTTTCTAATAGCTTGATCCTATAAAAAACATCAGTTATGCACGCCATTGCTCTAGGGAGTGANAGTTTCCCTCAAATGATCGCTTATGCTTCAATTCTTTCTAATAGCTTGATCCTATAAAAAACATCAGTTATGCACGCCATTGCTCTAGGGAGTGACCTTTTGCCCCAGCGTGGAACGGGCACGTCAAACTTTCATCATACCCTTTATACTTGAGGTTTGGGCATAGGTATTCCACTGATACATATCCACTGCCCAAGAGAATTTCGAATAGTTCTTCCATAGGGGTTGTAATATCAGCAACCTTACTCTTCGACTCGATCCCTTGGCATTCGATTGCATTTATTTGGACATTCTGATAATTCGGCAGCGGATTCTTACTTACATCAGGCCCATTTTTTTTTTTAAAGTTCAACCACCCTACCTTGATCAAAGCTTGAACCCTGTATTTCAATGCAGTGCAGTTCTCTGTTGAATGCCCTATGGCTCCTGTGTGATAGTCACAACGAGCATTTGCATCATACCATCTTGGGTATGGAGGCTGGATCGGATCTACAGGTACAAGTGCCAGCTGATTATTTTGAAATAACTGAGGCAGAAGCTCAGTATAAGTCATGGGGATTGAGTCAAACTGGGTCTGTTTACGTGGCCCTCTATTAGTCTGCTGCCCTTGAGTATAGAACGTATTATGCTGCTGACCCCTAGGTTGGAAATTTTGATTGGTTGGGGTAGATTGGAAATTTTGACTGGCTGGGGGTCGAAAATTTTGGGAAGCATAAGGGGAGTAATGTAAAGTTGCATTATTCACAAATGGTTGATTATACCCGTATGGTGTTGGGTAATAATACGGAGTGTATCGCGATGTCCGACCGTACGGTTGTTGTTTCCAAGAGTGTCGGTCTGCTCCCACCATTTGCAGCTCACCTTCCTTCTTCTTGGAATGACTTGCCTTCTTTGCGGCCAATGGCTCATCGACAGTACTGGTTATTCGCCCATGTCTAACCCCGTATTCGATCCTTTCTCCGATGGTCATAATATCAGAGAAATTTGTGGAAGCGCTTCCTATCATCCGATCATAGAAATGATGTTTTAGGGTATTGATGAACATGACAGATAGCTTTTTATCTGTTAAAGGAGGTTGGACTTGAGCTGCCGTGTCCCTCCACCTTTGAGCATACTCCTTAAAGCTCTCTGTACTCTTCTTCTCCATCCTTTGTAAATCTAAGCGATCTGGAGCCATGTCTATGTTATGCTTATATTGTTTTAGGAAGGAGTCGGCCAGATTTTTCCACGAGCCAACATGAGAGCTATCTAACTGCATGTACCAACGAGAGGCCGGACCAGATAAACTATCTTGAAAGCAGTGTATCAACAATTTGTCATTTTAGACGTATGTTGCCATCTTCCTACAGTACATTATAAGATGATTCTTAGGACAAGAAGAACCATCGTACTTCTCAAACTCTGGCACCTAGAATTTTGGAGGGATAACTAATCCAGACACGAAACACAATTGTGAGGCATCGATGTTGCCAAAAACGTCCGTCCCTTCTATTGCTCTTAATCCTTCCTCCAGAACTTTGAATTTCTCGTTACTGGGGGCATTTTGTCCGACTGGGTCTGTCTTGGCTGGGAGACCACCTAGGTTAAAGACTGTTGATACGAATCCATTTGTGACCAATTACATATATCAAAGGAGCAATTATTACAAGAAAGGCAAGGAAGATTCAAGAGGCTTTCACACTGCACCTTCAAAAGCTTGTTAATGCACAAGAACCAACAAAGAGTTTTGAGCCCGAATTTATTCATAATGTTACTTCAATGAGTCAAGAAGAGAATGGAGCAAAGATGGCACGGAAAAAGTTGTCTATTTTGAGAGATGGCACGGAGGACAAAAAAAGTGTGCAGATTCGTGAACAGGTGCCTTTGCAGATTGCACCTCTTT